TGATATTTTTTTAGTGGTGAAGATGTTCCCTTTTTAGTCATTTATTATATTTTATTGCTTTACAATTTGCTCTATTTGGTAATTCTTTTATCACAAAGCTTTCTTTATTCTTTAACGGTTCATTCAATGATTCTTCTTTTTTTTTCTCGTTTTACGTTTATTTAATAATTTTTGGTGTGTTCCTAATTAATTACAGAAAGCAACATGTAAATGTGTAACAGATTTTTTGCTCCAATGAATAGCTATAAATCTAATGCATTAAATGAGTATATTTGCATATACAAATAATAATAGATTGACTTTACGTACTGTTTAGTATTACCTAAAAGAAGTTATATATAATATTGAAGAGGTATAGTACACCTTTTGTTAGAGACAATAAATTCTGAAAGTTAAACTTTTCACAATAAAGCTTAATGTATAATTAAGTAGAAGGAAGTTAAAAAGGCTTTGATAATCTTTATAAATTTGATTGTCATTTTACAATATTAAAACATTAAAATATTTATTATTATTAATTTAGTTTTTTTTTTTTTGATGTTTGTTTTAGAATAAGTTAAGTTTTTATAAAAAGGACATTTGCCAACTTTAGTGTATTAATTTTCACATTTTTGTTTTACATGTGAACTAAAGGGTTTTTTTTTTTCTTTTTTATCCGTTTATTTTATTTGGAGATTACTAAGTTATGATTTTTTTCGTGGTAGAATTTTTTTTTTTTGTGTAGCTAAAAGCAAAAAATGGAAATCTCACAAAAAATAAGTAAAAATAAAGAGCAATTACAAAGTGAGGTCTGTCATGTTAATAACATATCTTTTATAAATAGATTTGGTATCAAAAAAACAAAGCTCAGCTTGTATGTTTTTTAGTTGCATAATTTTCGTATTATATTCATGCTATTTGAAAATATTTATACTTATGTAACGGTATCCACGTAATAAAGTTTATTTGCATTTTTTCCTAATCTGAATTTATAAAGAAAAGTTGCAGTAGGATTTATTGCAAAACATTTTATCAGTTTAATTTTCTTTAACTGACATAATTATGTCATAAATAATTGATTTTGATGGTAGCTTTGTTGTAAACTTCTATCCAAACATATTTTTTTTTTCAAATTCATAATTTAAAAGCAAAATGCTTATAAATGAATGAATATTGTTAATTTTAGTTATGTTGAGATGTATCAATGATAATTTTTTTTTTTTGTACATTCTTATTTTCACAAAATTTGCAATCCGAGCTATGGTAATACAATTATCCAACCAACGACTATTAATCAGCAAATTTCGTAGAAGAGATGAAATCATGGAAGCTTCCAAATGGACAAAATGACCTGTAATAACAGGGCTAAGGGTTAGTAACAGATTACCTGAATGATGATAGAATTCATTAGGAATAGGTCATTTGTAGAGTGGTGGAATTGATTAAAGATTCATATGCAAAGTCACTACTTTAGATGGTTCCTTTTATTTCTAAATTTTACTAAGCTAAAATTTATTCCGGAATCAGTTATTCTAGTTATGACAGCTGACGTTTTAAGATCTTTGATCATGCTAAAAGCAGAAATAAATTTAGTCTAGTTAGAAATAGCTAAAAGAAATTTCAAAAAAAAGGAAAAAATAACAGTGATATTATATAAAAGTTTCTACAAATAGGTACACATTTTATAAGTTTTAATCATTTTAAATCATTTTTAGAAAAGAAAGAAAAATGAAAAAAGCAGAAGGAAAAACAACTATGTTTAGAGGAGGCATTACAAAATATTATGAGCACAAATTTGAATAACAAAAAATAAAATTCATAATTTAGAAAAAAAATTATTTTCTATGAAATGATAAAGATTTATTGTAACAAATATTTTCAGTATTTATAATATATCGTGCGGCAGTGTTTTTTTTTTTTTTTTTTTTAGAAAAAAAATGGATGGTTTTAGTTTTGTAATTCTTATTTTACGTGCTTGTGCTGCAGTATGTTTCTCTTCATTTCTTTTATTATCATTTGTCAATTCATTCTTTCTTTCTCATAAGTTTTAATCAAAATTCATTTATTGAAATTAATCCAGTTTAGCTAGTTAAATTATTCAAAAAAAAGAGAAAAATAAAGGAAAAAAGAAAAGGCTTATAAAGTTTTATAAAAAATATAATCCCATATATGAGAAATGCTATCTAATGAATTAAATAGAAAATATTTATGAATGAAAGAAAAAAATGAATTTGCATTAAAAAAATAAACAAATACTAACAAATGTAAAGTTTGATATAGTTTTTAAATTAAAATATAGTTGGAAATTATGAAATAAAACAAAAATAATAACAATAATCGTAATAACAATAATAGTAGCAATAATAATAATAATAATAATAATAATAATAATAATAATAATAATAATAATAATAATAATAATAATAATAATAATAATAATAGTAATAATAATAATAATAATAATAATGATAATAATAATAATAATAATAATAATGATAATAATATTAATATTTTATAATGGGCAGATATCGAGCTTAATTTCAACAATAAATGCAGTCATTGTTCTTGTCAATGCAAATTATTATGGACATATATTTATGCCTATAATCGGTTTCATTTTACTAGTCCTTCTTGTCATTTGGACATTTATTGCTGTGGCGGATGTTTTTGCCGGATTACACGAAAAATATAATTGGGTTAGATTAATTTCTAATATGATTAACTTTATAAAATTATCAAAATCCTTCAATTATTTTTTTTACCTCTTTGTAATCTCTAAAAATGACCTTTTTTCTTCTTTTTTTCAATCAACCGTTTGAATGAATTCTTTACTGATTAATAATTCCTTATTTAAATGTAATTAATAAATAACATATGTTTTTAAAAGTGCATCAATATAATACCTCTGCAAGTCTGAATAATCTGAATGTGTGCCCTTTGTAAATTAATTTGTAAAAAGTATAAATGATATCAATAAAATCATGGATATGATAATGAATGTGCTGATGAATAAATATTTTCAAATTATTTGAAATTATATATATATGAGCTATTTTAAATTAATATATATATATATATGTATACTATTTATGTATTATAGGTAAGAGGATTGATGTGGTTCAGTGTCCCATATGGTTTATTAACAGCTTATCTTGTCACAGCAGCATATCTTTATGTCATGTTACATCGAAATTTAATTATTGTTAATATTTATTCTTAACAATTATAGCTCCTTTTCTTTTACTTTCTCATTCAATTTATTTCAATCTTCAAAATCTTTATTTTTCTTTTCAGATTTAGCCAAAAAGGCAAAGTAATTAAATTAAATTAATGAATTATTATATTATAATGTTGCATTAAGTAATTATTAAGTAATGTAAATGTTTTCAATAAATTATTCTTAAATTTCTAAATCTCTAATAAATAATGTTATAATTGTTAAGGCATTTACATGGATTGCAGTATGCAATATGATTACGGATGCATTCATGATAAATTGCTTATCAAATGAATCAATGATAATACATGTATAATGGAAAGAAACATCAAATTAACATTTTACAATTAAATTTTTCATTAGAACAATATAAATACATGTAAACTACTAAATCGTATTCTTGATAAAATATTTCTAAATTATTAAAAAAGATTTAATAGTGCCTAAAATTTTAAGTTTTAATGCTTATAATCTTTGACATCTTATAATACTAAATTTTTACCTAAACATTGTATTAAATTTTTTTTTTCATTTTTATACAATAACTGCGCTTCTAAATATTGTATATCCGAAAAAGTATCATTTGATAAATTTTTTTTTAATTTATGAAATTATATAGATGTTAAATTGATAAAATCATGTTAGTACATAGACAATAAATACACAAAAATGAAATGATATATGTAAAATTATTAAACGTACAATACGAGTAAATGATGAAAATGATCAATAAATGTGTGGTTTGAGATGATAGCGATCAAATGGTCAAAAATATGATTGAAAATTTCACATTTATTTTCATTATGACATTATTTTAAAAAATTTTTGGCCTAAAAATTTTTATAACATAAATTTTTTTTATAAAACTTTTAATAAAAAATTTCTAAAATTTATTTTTTTAATGCAAAAGCTTTCAAAACTTCAATTTCCACTTAAAATGATTTAAATTTAAAAGTTCTTACAATGAAATTATATTTTCATCTGTTTTTAACATTGCAAAATTTTTATGAAGTAATTTAATTGGTCCCAGAAATAATTTGAGGTTCAAAATTGAATAGCTATATTTATATTATAACCAAAGTAAATGCTTTTTTCAATTTTGATTAACTATTTTAATTTTTATTACAACTAAATTATAAGACACAATATTTATTTAAACAATACAAATATTATTACTAGCAAAATTTTTAGAATTAATGTAATAAATGTTTTTTTTTTAATTTGTAGAAATATTTGATATAACAATATGTTAGGTAATTTTTTATAACATTTTTTTTCAAAAAATGATATGGATGTTTTTCAAGTTTAATTTTATTGTAAATTTTATGTTTGAAAAATTCAGATTAATGTATTAAAAATAGCTGAAATATAAATTATTATATTTAGAATAATCAATAATAAGCTGTTGAATATGAATTGTTTCAGATAATGAAATAATAAAAACAATGAATAATAAGTGATAATTGAAAATATCTATAGGTGAATTTGTTTACTATCGTTAAAATCTTTGCAAAAAAAGTATATGAAGAGTTTGAATATGATTGATAAAGTTATTTTGTCATTTAAGGATTGCTGATAACTGGTTGCTTCTTCTACGGCTCTTATATCAATCTTTTCAGAAATATATCAAATCATTTGATTTGATATTTTAAAGTTTTCTTAAATAAATTACTAAACTTGGAGCAAATTACTTTTATTTTATAACCTATTCATTAATTAATTAATCAATTGATAGTCCTAATTTAATCGAAACTTTCCTAGAAGAAAATAATAATTCGAAGAAGATAATATGACTATTATCACAATGATTGCTCCTATTCTGTCATTACTGAGTAACATTATTGCATTAATACTGATTATTTTAAGTATCATACAATGTACTGCTAAAAAAGCGTTAGTTTTTATCATAAATTACTTTTTAAAATTATAAGAAAATTAGAAAATTTTTTGATAATTAAGAACCGATAATTAATTGTTGGCTTTTCAGAAATGAATTTAAAATGATTTGTTTATCTCAAAATTACATTCAAAGATTCTTTTTTTTAATTATTTGAAAATTTTTAATGATTAAATTTTCAAATATTTCAAACCACGGAATTAAAACGTTTAAATTTGTTAAGTGATATTAAATTATTGCAATTTCTCTAGTCAATGCTTAATAAGCATAAGCTAATAATCCAATAGGCCTTTGAATGCCTGTTTATCAGGCCTAAAGTATAATCAGTTGACAGCACTTTACTTTAAAGCTGATAAGAGAAAATAAAATTCATCGATCGCTACAGTAAGCTAAGCTACCAAATCTAATTCTAACTTTACTTGTGAGAAAAGGATAATAGGTAATTTGCCTTCATCATACCTCAAAATTTGATTCTGATTAAGCTAAAAAACTGACCTTCAAATATTATTTAGAAAAGGCATTCCGATTCCCGGTTTGACCTGTGATCATGAAAAGATGATAAAGATTATCCGTTGAACTATGGAAATATCATTTTCTTATATATTATCAAAAGTGTATTACAGCAGAGAATATCAATAACCAATATTTCAGTGATAAGCCACCGGCACCAGTAGGAGGCGTAGCCGCTCCGGCAGCAGCTGCGCATCCTAGCGAGGAAAAGAAAGAAGAGAAGAAAGATGAGAAGAAGGAAGAGGAAGGTGAGAAGAAGAGCAAGAAATCGGAACAAGAAAAGAAGGAGGGTGAAGGTGGTGAGGGGGAGAAAAAGGGTGATGAAAAAAAGGAAAGTGAAGGTGAGAGGAAGGAAGAGGACAAGAAACAGGGGGAGGGTGATAAGAAAGAGGAGGGTAAAAAGAGTGAAGAGAAGGGGGAAGAAAGAAAAGAGGGAGAGGTAAGTGTGAAGTTTTTTTTTGTTTTCTAGTTGGATGTCTTGAAATAGAAACTTGAATAGATTTTTTTGAATTGATCAATTCGAGATATCTCAATTATATTTTGGATTGCAAATTTTGGTGTTACCCTTCGACCTTTTGTAAACAATTATCGGCAATTGTCTGTTACACAATACTTGAAATGAGATGGTACATAGCAAAACAAATTCTTATGTTCCTATCGCTATAAGATAGTAGTATCAGGGATAAGCGGATGATCATATCGGATCAGATCTAATCAATAAAATTTTTAGCTTTCAATTAATGGTTTAAATTTTTATAGGAAGAGAAAGGTGAAAAGAAGGAGGGTTCCAAGAAGGAAAGTTCCAAAAAGGAGGGATCAAAGAAAGAGGTAATGAAATTTTTGGTTTTCAATTTCTCCATTCCTCTCTTTTTTTTCTATTTCACTTATGAATTTGAAAAGGAAGGAAAAAGAGAAAGAAAAGAAAAGAAAAAACAATTCAGGAAGAGAAAAAAGGTTCGAAGAAGGAAAGTTCCAAAAAGGAAGGATCAAAGAAGGAAGGATCCAAGAAAGAGGTGGATTTTTTTTTTTTATTCTTTGATCGAAATTATTTTCTAAATTATTAATTTGAGAAAGAAATTTCTTATTTTTTATGAAAATAAAAATTTAAGAAAGGAAATTTTCGTTTTTTTTTCTTTTTTTAGGAAGGTGAGGGTGAAAAAAAGGAAGAGGAAGAAAAGAAAGATGAAGAGAAGAAGGATGAAGAGGAGAAAAAGGATGAGTAAATGAATGAATAATTGGATTTAAAAAAAAAAAAAAAAAAAAAAAAGCAAAAAAAGAATTGGTGTGCAAAATGATGATCTATCTATCTATCTATCTATCTCAAAAGTATGAAACAAAGTATTAATTTGAAAAAAGAAGTCAAATGATTCATAACCTTCAAACGTTTTGGATCGTTTAATATTTCTGCTAACAAAATTTATTTCAAATAAAGCAAAAAGAATTGGATAAATTTATTAATATTCATTAAAATATTGTTGCATTTAAATCTGAACGGAAATCTGAAAAAATTACTCAAGCTTAAAAATGATTAGACACATTAACAAATAATTTTAATGAAATTTTTCAAATCTTCATTTTCTAATAGCATTTAAATCAAGCAATACTTCAATATCATTTTTATCATATTCTTTCACTTATCAGTGGTTAATTTTCTTTTTTCTTTTAATAATTTATCCTATTTGAATTTATCATATAATTCTGCTTAAAATATCTGTAGTAGAAACAGTAATTATAATTTTAAAATATTGCTTAAATTATTGAAAGAAATTTATTGAATGAAAAAAAAATTATTAAATATGAAACATTTTACAAGTCATGTACTATATTTATTCATTTTATACATTTCATATATAAATTGAGTGTTTAAAGGTCATAAGTCTATTTTACTATTTCTCTATTTTAGTAAAGAAAATTAAAAGATAGTGAAGAGATTATTTTCCATACAGGTAGTATGCGAAGTCACAAAAATTTATAATCAAAGAAAATCATTTGTAAAAACAACATTGCATTGTTAAAATTACGTTTAATCTAATTAAATTTAATTTACATTATTTTTTAATTTAACTGAAATTAACTCTAAACCAATTAATTAGACAAAATTTATTTTGTCGTTCCGTTTTCTCTTTTAATATTATTTTGTCTTTTTTTTTTGTTTTTTTTTAAATATTTTATTTCATTACGATACTGTGCAAAAAAAATTAAAAAATTTGAATTTTTACACGACATTTTTGCATGATATAAAACAATTGGTATAACAGTTATGAAATGGCAATATATTTGTTATTCTTATTAAAAATACAGTGAAAAGCAGCAGAAGTCTGCATTCTTCTATTATCAAAGTGATTAATTGAATTCTTATCACTTTGTATTTATCTACAATAATATGAATGTGCTAAACTAAATCAGAAAATTTGACAAAGAATAAAATATGCTATTTTTAAAATGAAATTATCGTTATCAAGTGAAAAAATGAAAAAAGCTTTCAAAAAAAGTGTTATTATCAACTTTATCAGATGATATTACACATATGTAAAATTTTATCCCTTTAATTTCGTTTTTTTGTTTTATATTTTTTCTTCAAATATATTACTTTTTTTTTATGCTCACAATATATTCTAATATGTTTATAGATAACGAAGAAAAGAGCAGATAAAAAAGAAATTTAAACATACAAATAACAATAATAATGGATAAATTGAAATTGATTGAATCGCCTATATTGTTGATTTTTCATTTTATATTATTGCTATATGTTGCCCTAATTTATTCTATTAATTGCTGCAGCTCAAAAAAAACTCCTCGTGCGGTTCGTTTAAAAAGATCTTTAAAAAATATATAAATTAAATTGACTTGACAATTGCAAGAAATATATTTGAGAAATATTCTCATTTTTAATTTTCAGTTATCTATAATAATATATGGAAAAAAAGGAATCTATCACATTAATTAATTTAATGATTATAAGAAACATATTTGAGAAATATTCTTATTTAAGTTTTCCATTACCTATAATAATATTTGAGCTAATCTTATCAATGAAATGAATAATCACTGTAGTGATGAAATCAAAATAATGTTCAAATAGCTACTTACTATCATTCAAAGATAAGATCATTTGTACTTATTATATCATTGTTTGCTTTGTTCATTTTTCATTGCTTCTTTATTTTTTATTTTTCGATTTTTTTTCTACGAGAACTGTATCAGAAATGAAATAAACAAAAATTTTATCTTAGTTTTATTTATTTATCAAACGAAAAAAATGTGATAATTTTATTAACTATCAAAAAATATCAGTTGCAGTCATTAATAGTTTTTTTTTTTTTTTTTTTTTATTTAGAAGAAGGCTACAAAAGAACAGAAAGGAACGATAGAAGGACAAGGTATGATGTTTAATAAATATTATAAGGATATGAAAACTGCTATACAAATGTTAAAATGGAAATTAAAATCTTAGATCAATTCTTTTGGAACTGAAAATGCATTAGTTTAATCTACTTAATAACTTATTAAATGATCCTATGGCATACATTAAAGACAGATATCAATTTAATAGATAAGTTTGAGATTTACTAAAATATATTGTTACCATATATATTACAGGTGCGCAAGGATTTGCTGCTGCTGCAGATGGAGGTCAATTTAATCAGGTAAGTTTGAGATTTACTAAAATTTGGACTAATCTTTTTATTGCATCTTTTCGTCTATTAGTCGATTTTTTTGTATTGTTTATCTATTAATAAGTGTAATAAATAATTATTTGGGCTTTTTTTTTTAAAGCAAGTGCAATTTTTTTAGGGTGGTGGTGTGGTTCCTGTTGCAGAAGTGCCAAAAGTACCTGGAGAGGGAGGTATAGTCGGTGAGTTAGTTTATAAATTCATGATAATTTTAATAGTTTGAAAAAAAGCTAATTCATGATAATTTTAATATTTAGGAAAAAAATAAAATCTTGGTTATAAGCTGAATGATATGGAGATAAAATGATAATTCCTAATTTTAAAATGATAGCAACTTTTATTAGATTTGGGCTTTTGTATATTTTTTTTAAACGTGTAAATAATTCGCTCTTATACTAATTTAGAAAGATTAATTTTAGGAACATATGACCCGAACTATCAAACATTAGCTGGTATAGGTGGTGAAGTATTTGGTGAAGATAAAAAGAGAGGTGCTGGTGCCGGTGCTGGTGCTGTTGGTGGTGGCGGAGGACCACAGGTACCACAAGTTACTGGAATGGCTGGTAAGTTTAATTAGTTATGCATGCATTTTAGAAGAATTTTTTATGTTTGAAATAACCTGTTTTGAATTTTTTAATTAAATTAATATCACTAGAAGGAAGGTTTTTTTTTTTAATTTTTTAGGAACCTATGATCCAAACTATCAGACACTGGCTGGTGTAGGTGGTGAAATATTCGGTCAAGACAAAAAGAAAGATATTGGTGGTGGCGGTGGTGGTCCACAAGCTCCTATTAATAAAGATGAAAAAGCTGGCACATTTGACCCCAATTATCAAGTAAGTAAATTTTATTTTAATATTTTTCAATGTATGTGTAGCAAATTTTTAAATTTTGTTTTTAAAATTATTTAAATTTGTTAAATTTTATATCATTTGTATCAAATAAATCATATTTCAGACTTTAGCCGGAGTTGGTGGTGAAGTATTTGGTACAGATAAAAAACAAGATGGTGGCGGTCGCGGTGGCGCTGTTGGACCAAAAGCGCCTGATAATAAAGATGCTAAAGCAGGAACTTTTGATCCCAATTATCAAACACTAGCTGGTGTTGGCGGTGAAGTATTCGGGCAAGATAAGAAGGAAGCTGGTGGTGGAGGACCACGAGCTCCAGAAAATAAAGATATTAAAGCCGGCACATATGATCCTAATTATCAAGTATAACAATCTTTATAGTCAATAATAGTCCCATTTTAAAAGAAAGACAAAAAAGCAAAAAACAAAAAAATTTACTTTTTAACACTAATCTCTTTATGAAAAAGGTAAATGACATTATTAGTCACTTTCGATCAACCTTTTCACTTATTTAAACTCAAATTATTTTACAGTAAAGGAAATGAGACAAAAAGAAATATCATCATATATCATTTCTACTTTTCATATTTCCATTCCATTTTACAGACCCTTGCTGGTGTAGGCGGTGAAGTATTTGGCGCAGACAAAAAAATATGAGCTAACAAATTTTTATAAAACAATATTATATTGATAAAAAAAAACGTCAGCTTTGTACTCATATTATCATTGCATTTACAATTTATACATTTTCAATAATACTATAACAATTAATCACTTCCTAATTCTAATGCATGCAGTAGAGTCTTATTTTTTAAAAAAAAAAAATTAATTACTATTTTAAACGAAATAATGATGTAGAATATTTTGTTTGTATTGGAACAGAATGTTAACACAAACAAAATTATAAAAATGGTCATTACTTAATGTATCATACAATACATTCAACTGATATTTATTAGTGAAAATGAGCCCTAATATTATTTTAAAATTACATAATTAAGATGAAAAATTGAATTTATATATGATTCATTAATGTTAAATACATTTCATTTTCCATCATTGCTCTATGAAATTTCTTTTTCTTTTTGGCCATTTGAACTTTATATTTGCATCAATAAAGCAAAAAAAAACACCATAATATAATATATTTCACGCTTTTTTAAAAATTTCAATGCTACTATGTTAAACTTAAAAATATGTAAAAATGCAGTAGTTAGATCATTCCGCAATTTCTACTCTGAGATCATTACTGTAGCAATAAATGCAAAAGCAAAAAAATGGATGCAATCATAATAAAATATATAACATTTCGCTTCTCACCTTTTCCACTTAATTATTATTGTGTAAGCAAAAAAGCAGATGTAATGTTCTCCTTTTTTTTTCTCTCTCGCTTCATCTCCCCTCTCTTTCATTGTTCACTAATAAAATGAAAAATAGTTGGAGAAGTTACATATAGATTTTATTTTAACGCTCAATAAATGCTACTACTCCAATAAAAAAATTAAAAACAGGACTGAAATTTCATACACAATTCATCGAAAACTAGCAATAAAAATGAGTGATCAAAACTACAGATAATTCAAACAATACCTGTAACAGGTATAAACAATGATCATTAATGAATATAGTATCTGTTGATTTGATACAATATTTTATGCGGCATTTTATATTAATAACAAGGTATCCGGTAGTCATCAGCTTATCTATACACATTTCATTTAGTATCCCTCATATAATTAATCTTTTTGCGTTTTCCTTCAACCAGCTGGACTAGTCAGCTAGGAGGACAATATGCATAGGCTTATTTGATGCAAGTGAGCCTATGCCTAGCAACTTATACCGCAATGCCACATTTTCATCATTTTATCGGATAAACTAACTAAACTAAATGCTATATGATAGGTTTCCTTTTTCCTTTAAAGTATACGGTATCCATATACATAGATTTTATTCCTATTATAATTTTCGATACATTATACTTTTTCCTTAAATACTGCAATTTTATTTCACAATTTTTGTTTAACTTTTTTTTTCAATCAACTTCTTTTTACTAAAATATCTATTTAAATTACTTCATAGTAGTTCATATGGATAATATAATGACAGCATTACTGATAGAATGGATTAGGATGAGATATTTATTTAATAAATAAGAAGAATTAATTCATATTAATCTTTTAATTAATATATTAATCTATTAATATATCTTTGTTAAATTATTTTGTTTCCAATTTTTGCTAGCACTATAACTTTTGCCAATTTAGTTTAATTTCATCCCGATTTTAACTTATTTTCACACTATAATTGTTTTATTTTACTCTATTAAATGGTAAAAGATAGAATTGATGAAAATCATAACTAAGTGAAAAGATGAAGTATAGGTAAAAGCAGTATAATGGACCCCTGCCATGAGGTCATCTCATCATCATCATCTCACCTCTATGACCCCTGCTGTACTCGACAACCCCTTTTCCATTACTTTTTGAACATAATTATAAGTGCAAATTTTCCATTCTTCCTCAATATTTGTTTGATTTTGCACATTTACCGCTTTCGGATACTGTAGTTCTCGCATGAAATTTATAATTTTGTCGACATTTCATTTTGAAACAGTAAATATTTCTTTATATTGTATTATAAAACTGTTCAAAAAAAAAAAAAAATCGTGAAGTTTATGAGCTAATAATTATATATAAGGCAATAATTAATAATTATTCTACAAGTTCGTAATAACTAATTTCTGTTTTGTTTTTCAAGTAATCCTGTTTTATATAAATATTTTTCGTAATAAATAATTTCTGTTTTGTTTTTAAATAATTTCTGTTTGTTTTTCAAGTGAATTTTTCCAAAATTTATCTGAAACATTTGATTGGTGATTTAAACGCTTTAATCAAAAATGATTAGTGATTAGATCAGTATGATATTAAAGTTCATTTATTATAGTCAAAGTAAGACATTTGTCAGCATAGTTATTTAAAAAATTTACTTAATTAACAACATATTGATAATGCTTAATGCTTTCTAACATTGATTTTTTATAGTATCATAAACTGTATGCTAAATTATCTGGTATATCAATAAGGAGTGTAAACGAATTTTTATGATGCTATTTAATTTACCAATGTGTTGAAAAATAAAGGTCTATTAGTGATTATTTTATGTCTCTTTGCCAGATGTTATCATTTTCTCGAGAATTAGTATCAAAAAGAATAAGTTATTTTACAGTAATATAGTGAAAAAGAAGAATAAGAAGAATCTTTTTTTTTCTTTACTAAATTTAAAATTTAGGTCGCAAGATACGAGAGACAAATTTTATGGAATTAAATAATTAAAGATTGATAAAGTGATTCTATTTAATCATCAAACAACAAATATCATATCATATTATTTAAACAGTTTCATTTCATCTGTATCTGTACATAAATGCTTTTATATGCCAATGTGGATTTTTCTGCAGTCTTATTCGTTGTTAATATTCTATCAGTGATTTCCAATTAATTAATCAGAACTTTTATTATTTATACATATGCATATAAATCAATGCAACAATATATGATTTACATAAATGATTGATTAGTATTGCATTATTTTATTGATACTATTTTTAAATAAAATTATTAATTTATTGACTTATGCGACGAGGAATAAATTGAAGCATGAATTATTATATATCTTAAAATTTTTAAATTAGATCAATCAATGGCTGAGCTACTTGCATCAAAAATAATTCTGGGCGGCGAGTTTGATTGTGTATTTGTCAAAATGTAATGAAGGTTATTCTATTGCTTAAGGTTAACTTAGCCAGGATAGAAATCACTTCTAAAATTCAGCATAAATCGTTGCATTAATAGATCGGAAGCAATCCAGCACTTTTTAATAATAATAATATCCAAAAATAATTCGGATGACTTTTTGATTTTTCTACAGTTAGCATCTTTTCACCTGCTATCCTAGCGGTTGGTGTCAAATTGTAATCCGTTCCGGTCATTATGATCATTATGATCATCATTAGAACAATCTGCAATGCACATCATTTTCTTTTTTCAAGTGTCCTTCTTGACAGTTTAACTGATCTTTTACCATTTATAGCTTCTTTCTATTATTTCATATTCATCCCTCAATAATAATCTTTTTTTTCATTTCTATTCTAACATAATAAAATTATTTAAATTATTTTACATTTCAATTTTGTCTTGTCTTTTAATATGAAATTAATGAATTTTTTTGAATTGATTAATAATAAACTTAAAAAAAATTTTTTTTTAGAAAAACGTGTGAAATTAGAGTAATATTATAGTTAGAATAATAAAAAATTTTGCAATATTTATTTTAGATAAATATATAACAAAAATATTAGTCAGTAATAATAGAACATTATGATATCTGTTTTGTTAAAAGTGGAAATGAAAACCATTGAGCTATTATTATTTGTTGGCGCAAAATTGCTGTTACTCCTACTACTTTTATAATCCTCTTTCAATCCTCGCAAAGCCGCCGCACACTGCTCTTTATGTATTTACATTCTAAATATATAGATAGATAGATAGATAGATAGATAGATAGATAGATAGATAGATAGATAAATAGATAGATATAGATATGCTTTTCATGCTAGTTCAATTTATTTGTCCAATTTTTATTTTATTTTATTATTTTTTTTAAAGTCACATTTGAACTTCAGTCCTTATATTTGCTATTTAGAAATTATCAAAAAAAAAATGATGAAAAGTTTTAATATTATTTCGAGAAAAAAAAATAAAAACTACTTTACATGTTATTTCTAAAAATGCAATCAAAAAATTTTTTTAAATTAGTAATTACTGTATAATTATTAAATGTTGATGTATGATTAAACTTTAAATGCATAATTAGAAATGTTAATATGATATAAAACATAATTATAAAATTGATGCTAGGTTAATAGTAATTATTTAGTAATTTTAATTCTAAGAAAACACCATTTAATATTATTTAAAAAATTTTATTATAAAAATTGTTATCTTTATATTTGCATCTTTTATCCGTATAATTTTTTTCTTTTTACTTTTTAAAATAACTTAACACTAATTTTCGGATGATATATTTGTCATCATTAAATGATGATACTCAAACCGTTTCATCATCACCAATTTCAAATGCTCCATCAACTTCAACTGCATTATGTCAAGTTGCAACAGCAGGTAATAAACTTCTTTTGGTACAAAAATAATAAAAGTGAAATTCATTTTTTCAAAAAAACGATTAAATTCTCACTTAGTATTCCACGTATTTCCTTTACGTGTTTTTTTTTAAGTACAATAATAATAAAAGTAAATTTTTTCCAAAAAAAAAAAAAAAATTTAACTATACCCACGTAATTTTTCATGCATTCTCTTTACGTATTTTTTTCTTTTTGTACAAAAATGATAAAAAGTTAATTTTCAAAAAAAAAAAAAAAAGATTAAACTATTATAGCGTAATTTCCTTACGTAATTACGTGCCTTTTTTCTTTTGAAAATTTATTAATAACAGTAATAAATGAATGAAATATAATAGGATGTTGCGTATCATGTTTAATTCCAATTACGGATCAACATTTTCTGTTAATGAATGAACAAAGTTGGCACTATGAATGTTTACGGTGCTGTTTATGTCATTGCTCATTACATAATGCATCA